GACTGGTAACACAAAACTTCCTGACCGGCTGGAACCTGAATAATCGCCTTCCTTCGTGCACCTACAAAGAACTCTCACACCGGAGGGGTTTTCCGGTGAAGAGCCTCCAAAGATTAAGTCAGTGTGTATTAAATCAATTCTTAAGAGTGAGTAATAGAATGATCGTGTGTTAGGGAGAAAGGCTTACCCCCTTTATATAGGGGTGAGATACATGCCCTAATAGCTGCCCGGATAGGATGAGTTGGCTGCCCAAATTGCCCGTCCGTACTCTGACACGCCGCGCACATGTCAGAGGTGGCACGGGGCGTTGGGAGCTGTCAGAGGTGGTTATCGCTATCAACCACTGCATTCTCGACACGTGTCCTCCTGCACATGGGGTAAATATTCTTCTGAAATTCGGTTAGAGGCTCTTACACGCGCCTGTGACTAGGCCGATCCACTAGAGTGTCAAATCTGCGAGGTGATCGACCTCTTGAGGTCGACTAAGTTGCTCGATTGCTTATCTGGTCGAGTGATGGGTTGGTCGACTGTTTGACTGGTCGACAGGTTTTCTGGTCGATCTTCCCGCCATTTAGCTCGGTTCCTTCATGATACGACCTCTCCGTCCGGTTCGGCAGACCGATTTAGCCTGGTAGGTATAATATCCCATATCATCTAGTCCCCCCCACTCTGGTCGAGTCTGAATGACTCGATCTAAGAGTGAAGTTGTGTTCACCGCCCTCCTGGAAGGCATGATGTCAGATATCGACCATTTGGTTAATTTCCCGCTCATCTTTTACAAATAATTCCTCATTAATTGCCAGCAATAAAGTCGTCTGCCATACGTTCTTTCCATTGCACCTGCTTTTTTGCCACGCGTCCCATCTGTCAGGCGCTTTAATTATTGCACCTCCTCGTCTATCGCGCTCATTTTGAATTCCGTGTGAATTAATATTCCTCACCGTAGGATCTAGTTTTAATCTGACGGCTCTTATCCTTTAACCTTTCAACTTATCCAAGTATAAAGTCCGTACTTGGCGAAATTTCAGAGTTTTTCCACCTTTGTCATTCTCGAATTTTTAGTGTTCTGAAATCTTCTTGCAACCCTAGTTTTTGTTCTCGACGATTCCTCCTGCTCTTTCAAGGCTTCTCCAATTCGTTCATCCACGGTTATGAGTAAGTCGCTCTTCACTTAAATTTTTACTTCCTGCATTTTAGATTTATGTGCTTTTGGATTTTCAGTGTCGAATATCCCCAATCTGCCTATTGAAATTTTTGAATTTGCGCGTCTCGTTATGAATCTGTTCTTTTGATGCTTTGATTTGTCTATTGAATGTTGTGAATTTTGTTTGTCCCTTCAAACTTTTTCAAAATTTCCGCCTTTCTCCTTCTGGTTTCTGGAATTGCTCTCTCCAGAAACTCTAGTCCTCCTCCTCCCCTCTTTTTTCTTCACAAAGGCTCACTTTTGTTGTTGTTCTTTTGCTCTTATTTTTCAGACTCTGCAACCTCTAGTAGAACGACCATCACTCCGGTACTGACTTGAGTTCTCTGTCTTCCTCGGCCACTCTATCCTCTGACTCCATTCAAGAGGTCCCCTTTGTTCCTGACTCTGTCCCCCTATCCATCCTTCGACACCGCTGTCCCCATTCGAGTTTTCACTGCCCGTGTTTCTGCTCGTACTTCCCCTTCCAATTCTGGTGATACTATGGATAATATCCCCCTCCGTCATCGTCGACCTGCCTTTGGCTCATTGGATGAGCCAGAGGAAGATGAGGTCATCTCTTCCCAACCTACTTTTCCTACGCCTCCGACCATTCTTCCTTCTTCTTCTCAACCTGCTTTTCCTACGTCTTCGACCATTCCTCATTCCTCTTCTCAACCTAGGACTTCTAACTCTCCTCCGCAAAAATCCTCGATCAAAAACCCCTCAAGAGTTTCCACAAAGCGCTCTTCTTCCAGTTCACTTTCCAGCCCCTGGTGTAGACCTGAAAAGATCGGCTAGCCTATCGGTTGAGCGTTCTATAGCCCTTCTTCTTCTGACACCTTCGACCATCATCCTGAAAATTGTTACACCTTCGTCGAAATCCAATTCAAACTTGGTCTCCGCTTCCCCCTAAGTTCCGAGCTACTCCAAATTTGTGAGTGGTTCGGGCTTCCCTTACATCAACTTCCTCCCAACGCCATCCGCTTCATGACCACCTTCATCATCCTTTGACATATTCGCCTCGGTCGATTTGACCTCGCCTTCTTCCACTACTGCTACGCCCCCTAAGCAAGGTCGAGGTCTTTACCTCAAGAGTCGCAACGGTGCTCACTTTATCAATGACGTTCCCTCCAACCTCCCCAAGTGGATGGATAGATTTATTTTCGTCCAGCCTGATGTGCCTTTCCCTTGG